GTTATTGCTCAGCAACTAATTTAAAGGTTAGGGATATTCATAACGGGTTGTTTTAACGTAGAACCATCTGTCTCACAAACGTACATATAATTAGTATTATGCAATAAAAATAATATAATTATTATTCATTCTTCAAGGGTTAAGTTAGGATTATGGATTATCACAATCATTGCAAAATAAAATATGTCCTTCAATTATATTTTGAAACCTCAGTCTATTGCAACTGAATACCTAAACCTTGAAGCTTTAAATTCTAATTTAATGAAATTGACCACATCCTGTGACAAACTTATTTATATTATTAGCTAATCAACCAATGCTATATAACTAGTAAAAGATACAAAAAAAAAAATAAGTAGAAAGCAAAAGTTTTACGTTTAGACTTACGATACACACATTGTCTACGAGTATGATTTAATTTTGTTATCCTCTCAAAAGAAAGAATTAAAATTAAAATAATCATTCACGGAAAGAATATTTTTACAATACTATATATACATGCATTTACAAATTATATAACATAACATATTATGTACACTGACTGTTAATACTCTAACGTATTGTAATTGTTGAGCTAGATTTAAAATAAAAATCTAATAAAAAAAAACAACATATGTACACGTTACCAATACGGTAATACCCAGCTTCAGAAATTTAATTGTAACAGTTCAATAGCAATTAGAATGATAAATATATGTAGAAACAGGTACGTACAATAATTTAAATTTTTGGTATGTGTCCCCCGCTCATAAGTCATTAAAAATACACCTGTGTGTAGTCCAATAATAATGTAGTGTATTCAACGAAATAAGTAATAAACAATATTTCGGACATTATGGCCGYTGCCATTTAAAGTTTTTTTTACTGCATAAAGGACTTGATATTACATTTAACTTTTATACGTGCATGTTGTTGTATATGATTCCATCATATTTTTTAACAGTATATCAACGATTAGATCAATTTATGATTTCGTAAGATTTTTTAAATATGTAGGAGTGGTATCATAACTAATAAATCACAAGGAACTTAGTACATTGAAAATAAACAGTAAAAAAATACAATAAATATAACATGCAAATAAATCAAAACTTTAATGAGTTGAACGAAAAACCACTTTATAAGTTAGGTAATTTAAATTCGAACTAAAGAAGGGGATGAAATGCAATTTTAAAAATATAATTTTTATGCAAATATACGGAATTTATTTTTTACTTAGAATTTTTTTTAAATAAGTGCGATTAACTATAATGTTTTTTATGCAGTAAAAAAACCTGAATGAAATTCAGAGTCATACGTTCGAAATATTTTGTGTTACCTTATACTTAAATCGTTGAACACACTGTATAGCATAATTATTAGTTATTACATTTTTAAAGTAGGTACTTAGCAATTATAATAATTTATTTGTTTTATTAATTTCTACCTGCTACTGTTACTTGCTATTGTTTTACTGTTTTCTGACATGAATAATCGAATCCCCAATCAAGAACAATAATTGAATACTAAATTTACAATTTTTCCCAAAGCAATATTATTCATGCTACGTTAACCGAAAAAAAATTCTTCGGCTAGTTCCCACGACACGTGTACATAATAATGAAATTAGCGAGCAATGTACGTATTAAGTGCTCAGATGAACGTATCCACGCATATATTACGTTTATTTTGAACCTATTCACTGCGACTAATGSTCATACTATCTGTGCTGACTATTTATTCTACGATTTAAAAACTGGCATATAATTTGTCAAGTATATTACCAGCTCTGTTGACTGGTGACAGTTTACCAACTATCTTCAGAAATGCATAACTACACAAGTGACAAATAATCTTACACAACTGCAATAAAGGCCGAATTTGGGCAGTAATGTAAGTATTTACAAATAATAAATATTTGGCATAAACATCAATCGTGTTATCTATTCTACGAACAATATACAACAAAACGAATCATTCAAGTAACAAGTAATACCCTGTAATTTGAAATAACAGATAAAATAAGCACAGCATTGAAAATGACGTTAAGAACATGATTTACAAAGTGTAGGTACCTATGTGTAATTTTGTTTTATCCGAGAAAATTTTAACTGTACTTAACAGAAACCTATTTCAAATATACCCAAAATCAGGGATGGAGAAGACGGATGAGTGATGACCCCAGTGATGACCCACTAACCCCAAAATTGATGGTACCAAACCTGTTTGAGTATTAGATGTATCACCACCATCGTTATCAAATCTTTTTTATATATACATACCTATATATATWTTTTTTTTTGTTAACCAGTTTATGTTTGAAAGAACAAAGACTATAGTGAATCTTACAATTAAAAAGTATAAATTAAGTGTTTTATTTTAGTATTATGATTTTTATCATGATAACATGTCATAAGTACCTATCTAAAGAAATTAATAATTTAATAAATTTAATTATGATTTTAGCTGAGTGCAAGAAAAGATAACAAAAGTTAAACAATAATTTAATAACATAAAATATTATTAGTGAATTAACTGCCACATTCAGACAAGGTGATTTCCATTATTTCGTTGACGAAATTCTTAAAACTTAAGAGCAGCACTAATAAATGTAATGTTTCCAACTAATAAGTCTTCAACAAATAAATTTTATTTACATAACTATTATTTATCGTGTTGATATATTATGTTTATAATCAAGGTTATAATGTTCCTCAATTTTAACTAAAACTATTAATATAATAACTAAAATTAAATTCTAACTAATAAAAATTATTTACGTAAAAAAATTGTATCAACTTGATTGTTTTCAATTATAAAAACATATTGATAATATTATTTTTTGAATTTTTAGCTTATACAATAAGATTTATTAATTTATGAATATATCACTCGTAGTAYTTAATGTTGTATCGAAACATAGTTAATGGCCGAAGAAATTATGAAACAAAAAACATAAGCCGTTTTTAATTGAAAACGAATTAAAAAACTAAAATTGTTATTACTTATTAAATACTAAATTATGTTCAATTAATAAGAATTGATTTTTATTATTAATAATATAGTTAATTCTTAGTAAAATACTGACCAATTGTTCTTCAGTACCAATAATGTCAACATAATCAACAGATGGGTCTTCATCGTCTTTAAATTTAGAATCTTCTTTAATTGGCCCTGAAAAAATTAAAACACAGTTTAAGCATAGGTATATAAGTACATAATACATTACATAAATAATACACATTATATAAGTAATAGTAAATAAATAAATTATATATTACAAATCGAAAGTCAATATATTATACAGTTCTTCGACATACCGTTATTGTTGGACATTTTTTCATAAATGTTAGAATAGTAACAATTTATACAGCGAAGCGTTATGTTTTGAAGMGAAGCAATCGTTAGTTTATTACCACTAAACCTTATTGAGGCAGTAATTCCCCCCCCTGCCATCAGATGAGCTACTTACTAAAGAAGTAACGCAGTTGTTGTATACAACTACTGTCTACTATTATGAGATATGAATACATAATGAAGTACCTACTAGTTGTATAAAAATCGTTTAATACATTAGGTAGAAATACATCTCAAAATACATTGAATACGATAAGGTAATATCATATGGTAAAATTATTAAATATTACTCTCAATGTTCATATTTCTTGTTTTTATTAAATTAATAAATTTACAATTTTCATTTTGAAAAGTGCTAAAGAGGACAGYGCTACCTCACACGCATGTGTGTTCTCTGTCGTAGAAACATTACAAACGTATAACATGTAGTCAAATTGGCATTTAATAGAACCAATTTTATGTAGTTTTCTTTAATATTAGAACGAATAAGTCTATTATAAAATTTAAAAGTRAGAATAAAATCCATGTTTTCATGGTGGTTTTTTATGATGTTTAAATTTTAAACGAATTATGAGCATTTTGATCGAAGTATTAAATCCTTCGTAATTTAGGTATCTAATCTACATAGGTAATTCTATAAACGTTATTTGAAGAAATTATTTTCTAAAGTTTAAACAACTATTCATTATTCGTGTTTTCCGTAGACATRGATCCACATTCCACCTACAGAACATGGGTTTAATAATAGTATTAAGAATTAGTAATTAGTAATTATAATACATTACTGATGATATTTCAATTTGTTTAGAATACATTCAATACTCGATAGTAGGGACTAGGGATTTTTTAAATACATTTTTAATCTTGTAACGACGGTTACAATTATTTTAATGTATGTGTATAAGTACCTAAATGTTGTAATTTGTTTTAATAAAAATATTTTTTACTTAAGTAGTAAGGATATGTATAAAAATACATTCAATATACTCGTATTCAGTGTATTAAAAAGGGCGAGAATAGCAATGATAATTATGTTAATACCCTTGTTAATATTTTTATTATAATACATTAAGTATTATGTATACATTTTATTGGCATTTATATAGGATAAAAAACTAAAAAAACGGGAAACTTCAAATGTTTTTAAATAACTTAAAAATAGTTGAAATATTTCGAAAATTTTATCAAGTCTAGAAATTTACACAAAAAATTATAAAATAAACATAAGGTGTAACTTTCTACAGTTATTCGTTTTCGAATAACAACAAAATAAGAACATCGAAACAAAAGAAATTGGGTGAATATCCAATGTCATAAAAATTCAAAATTCAAATGCTCATAAAAATGTAATTTGATTTTACAGTAGACGTTTGATAAACACAAACTCATGAATTATCTAGTAAATTTTCAAATCTTAAATTTAAAAAGGCAAATATTTATCAATTTCTAACTTAAAATAATTTGCAAATTTTAGTGATTTTTACGTATTTTGCAGCCCCTATTTTTCACAAAAATTCATACTACACATCTTTTAATGTACCATGAAATAATACACAGAACCGTGGGGGGCTAAAAATATATTATTTTTTAAAAATGTGTATAATGTATTCTGTACTACCWATTACTATCTAGCAAGTATAGTCTTATTTATTAGTATTTAGTAGGTACAAACTTCTCGAATCCGTAGTGCACACTTTCAATTTCGAATTACACATTTTGTGTCAGGGATCATTAAAAAATAGGGCATGGTATTTTGTCTAAATTGGAACTTTAAATTCTTAAAAAATAAAATCATGACTATTTATTTTTGATTATTTTTTAACTATTGTTGTAAAAATACATTAGAAGCCATTTGTTATATTTTAAAGCTTTTTTATCAAACGAATAAAATTTCATTGATATTTATAGAAAAAAAATGAAAAAAACTAAAAATTGAAAATGTCTACTAATAACTTTAAAAAAATATATGGAAAATTTAATCAAGTATAGAAAATGCCAATATGAACATTCAGTGAAAATTGMATGTATCTATGGTAATTTGAAGTAATTTGTTTAAGAGTTATACCAATATCCGAAATCGATTTTGCGTGAAAATTCTAGTTTTTCCTTAATTTCTTTTTTTGTTTTTTTCCGGCTCTTTTTTAAAACTACTGGGAATTTTAAACCCTTTTAATTTTTTAACTCCTGAATACACCAACTAGAGATTCATTTTTCAATCGGAAAAGCTACTGAAGTTTAAAATCGAAGCATTATTTCGACACCTTATCGTGTATACACACACAAAAAAAAAAATATATATTTATGTATAAAAACACACATCATTGTAAAATAAATACATTCATCGCTCTGCTCAAAATCTAAAATGCGAAAAAACATTATTATTGAATATAATTTTAGTCCTATATTTTATATGATTGTGTTAACAATCTTTAATGGAGATTAAGATAGGGTAAATCCACAGGAATTAGTCACGGGAAGTTTAGAATATGACTAGCCGGATATTAAACGACGAATATAAAATACTCGTATGGCGCTATTGTCCGAGTGTACTAACCTAACCTACACCGGTGGCCTGTTTGGCAGAATTTCTAATGGGGCACCCGTAGGTTTCTGCCTTGCCCTGGAGTGGGGGATGGCGACACTTGTTCTCCAGACACCGTGACTTGCCYGGAGAAAAATGCCGCCCGATGGTCGAGGATCCGAACCCGGTCCGGCTGAGCCACAGCCGACGCGTTAGACCGCTCGGCCACCTGTCCTCGTCCCCGAGACGAGTTAAACACGCATTTTGAATCATATTACCCATAGAGTTGGTGCACGGGGATCAGCTAGTTCTACAATAAATACAAAGGGAGTAAAGTGTCCCGCGCAAAACAGTTTTTGCTAAGATGCATGTTTGTAACACGGTGACAATACATACAGGTTATAATGGTTATGAGTTTATAAACCTCTGAATATAACGCGACTTGGGCATTTTGTTGTYTCCGTCTTATACACGCATGAGGTAGCATATTTCCGTTCAGTAGTTTCCAGGGCCGTAATTAGGGGGGAGCTACAGGGTACTGTTGCCCCGGGCGGTTGAGTAGAAGAGGGCGGCTAATTTTTTTATAATTTAAATTTGTATTTTGTATAATGATAGATGAGGMGTATTTTTTTTGTTTCCCCTTGGTGTCAAATTCCTAAATACGGCCCTGGTAGTTTCACTAGTGTGCTGTTGCCTATTAGTCATGATATTATCAAACTTTTAATTAAGAACATTATCTCCAATTAAAGCGTCGGCTTATATTCGATATTTTAATTTTCAATCGAAATATGGGCATTTTTAATTTTTGATATTTTACATATCCACACCTTGCTTAAAAAATCTTCAATGCTTAAGCACAGATAAAGTTCTTAACTTAAAGTTTGATAGTAGATATTATGCTACTCTAATATCAAAACTAACAGTACACTATAGAAAATAGTTAACGAAAAATGATTGCTATGTTGAACGTTTTTAAGGCGTAAACGCTGGAAACAACAAATCCATGGKTAGCATCCTCTTAATCAATTATTAAAAAAAAATAAAATAGTGGAAGTCAAGTCATGAATACWTTAATGAATACTTTTGTTGCTATATAACTTACCATACAGCCTCATAGGTACAAATAACCATTTACCATATTCTCAACCATACCTAAAATATCTCAAATATTTTAACTAAAAATACCCATTACAAACAAAGAAATTTTGTATTTATTGTTCGTTTTGGATTATTCCTGGATTTGATTTATATATTAATTTATACTTTATACTTCAAACTTTAAAGACTTTTATAACACCCACTTATAACTAAGCGTAACCAGTATTTGTTTTAAYAATGTAATTATTTTCCCATTACTTTATAAATATTATAGATAGATAGAACATAATATTCAATTTATGAGCTATATAATGTATAAATACATATGTATACCTTTGCCAAATTGTCTCAATACTCTTTAGTACAAATACCTCAAAAAAACTTGTAAATGATCGATTATGATTCTCGGCTCTGTATATTAACCTCGATATTAACAGTCCTCCTATAACTATGTCTACATTTTAAAATCCACATGTAGCACTACCAAGTGATAATAAGAATCAACACACTCATTATTTTTTAAAATCATTTATCATTATCATCACAATTACTTGTTATACAAAAAGTGATCTATGTATAATTGGTATAATAATTATAGTTTCCTAATAAAAAAAAATATTCAATATTGAATCATAAAACCAATAATATTAATATTCTTAAGAAAATAATATTTATTTCTTGTATGTTAGATCCGAGGTTAGATATTAATTATTACGATAAAATTGTGATATTGTAATGTCTTTGTTTTTTTAAGCTTGGTTACTCRCTTGGTTACTAGCATGTTATTAGTTCTTAATAATCTAAAATATCATACTTAAATACTCAATACATTTTGAGGATATAAATTAGTAGATATCTTCTAGACACCATTGATTAAACTATGAACTTATATAGTTAGGTATGTTAAATATAAAAATCAACTTGGTAAACAGTAAATTTAACATTAACAATAGGTATAGCTGAAACGCTAGAAATATTAAAGTAAAGAATTGTACAAATTTGAGTTGAAACATTTAAAAATTGATAGAAAGAAATAACATTTTATCTTTTATTTTTTCATTAGGCTTTTATCAATAGGTTATCTAAGAAAATAATTACTTGCCTATATATGACAATAACATAGTACAGAACTACCTACAGGAAAGTAATTATAGAAAAAATATATACTTATACAACATTTTGAATGGGATACCAAACTAACTAAAAAAAAATGTAAAATACCTACCTAACATAATACAGTTTAAAGAAATGAGTAGGAAGCTATAAAATTATGCAAACCCATTACCCAATGCAACTWTAAAATCAAACTATTTACATATCTATGATTTTTTCAGTTTAATATAAGAGAATCTTAGAGATGGTGATTTATTATTATCCACTTTGGTCAGACCACACCACTCAAATAAATTGGTTTTTGTATCGGTTTTTTTTTTTTTGTCAGCTTTCGATTCAGATGATTAGCAGCACCAAAAAGTTAATATACTTAATATAATTTAAGCTAAGCAACTCTTGGAACAATAATTTATGCTTTTGAGATAGATCAAATTAATCAGTAAATATGGTATAAAACAAAAAGGAAGTCACTGTTACACAATAAGTTTCAAATGTTCCTTCATTGAATAGGTCAATAAAATAAATGAGTTAAATTTGAATTCAATAATTAATCATTACTTATAAATACTTAGGTACTAAACATTTGATTTGTTTTATCATAATATATATATATAATATATTTATAGGTACCTACTAATAATTTAATTATATTATAATTTTTTCTAAAGTAAAAAAATATCATAAATTGCAATATTGGTAGTTGTAAAAATGTTACTAAACAAGAGTTATTAAAGAAGTTGGTTAAGGTAATATGAAGCTAAAACTGAATTTTAAGAATCAAGTCATTCATTACACAAAATACAAAGTCATTGATTATTTGCCTACCTACCTAAGTGATTTTTTTTACTTGAAAAAGAATTATTACTAAGTGATATTAGGTACATCCCTATTATAACACTTATTTAATACTAGGTACTAGCACAAAACAGATGAAAATGGCATCTATTATTATCTATTCATAAGATTTCATTTATACTGTGGTATTAAGTAATCATAATAAATTCTATCAAAGGTTTTTTTAAATGTCAACCTCCGCACCAAATACGACAAGTTAGGTAGGGTTCCCTAATATATTTCTCATGGCTTAGGAACCAAGCAGTTAATAACCACATGATAACAATTTTCGATCACTTACTGCGGAGAGGCGTGCAGACTGGGTCTTCTGGATGGTTAACTTTTTTGTGGCCAGCACCGTGCAAACGCACGAGCTTGCTTAATCTGGCCACGAGATCGGCCATTATCACCTGGGTCGTTTGCGGCGCTTAACGATTGTAGTAGGGAGGCGTCATTCACCAGGATCGCATTTGCTGCGCCAAGATCTGACGGTCGCTCCTCCGCAGTTGCTGCTGTACCTCACGTCTTCAGCGGGTTCACGTATCCAATCGTCGATTTGAATGTCAAGCATGATGAGCAAACACAGCAGCGGCGTAGGACGTCACAGGACCGCAAGAATCCCGTAACACATTCGAATGACAGACAACGACCCAACGGTCACCGGGTAGGTACGGGTCGAGATGATCGAGTGGTGTTTCGCACTTTAAACGATATTTTAGCGAAAACAGATGTCGAACATGAACGGTTAGGTTAGGTGTGTGTACTGCAGGAACACGCGACTGACGGGGGAAAAATAAAAAATAAAAAAATTAGTCAGTGAATTGAATAAAACCGGCGGTGTAAATCACGGTAAACTAAAAGCACGGCGCCGTAGACGCGTTACGTTTTCTCGACCTTCGGAATGACCGGATTAAAACGATTTTTCAACGTCGCGGCGTGGGCGGCGAGTTCTTTACCCTTAGCAATAGAAGAAGAAAAAAAAAGAAAAACAAGAGACGGACGAACGAACGGACGGACGAGCGGATTTTAAATGATGTAGTGATGTACTGTGTAGATACTAGGTGGGGCAAACCGCGAACGGTCGGACGACTGCACGAGTACGGGAAAGACGCGCGATTACCGTCAGAGACCGCTAGTACCGACATCGGCGTATTTTCCGCGTTCGGAAATTTCACGCGCCGCCGAACGAGCACAGCGCCGTATCGTTAATGTCGCCGCCGCGCCGGCGTCCGGCACTGTTCGGGCTGTTCGGCGGACGGTCGTGCGACGACGACGCCGATAATAATATCCACTCGCCCGTCCCTTCTCGACACCGCCACGCCGACCCACGAGGCCACGACACTACAACAATGCTTATCAGCGGCGCCGACGCCAACCTTATCAATCTGTCCACTGTCGCCGCCATAGACATCCTATAAACTTAGTTTATGGTCGCTGTCCTAAGGGCCAGTAAGTAAGTTGTACCGTCTACTGTTAAACTTCGATTATGCTTAATCAGCTGATAACAGATATTTAACCGGACAAAGTCGGAGATGGTACTAAGCCCCCTCACGACCAGACCATAGACGGCCGATAACTTTAGAAAATCACAACGTGGGTGATGAAAATTATTATATTTTCTCGATTTAAGCCAACAGTTGGGCCAGCGGGGGACACCGGTCAATCATTATAATATTTGTAAATCATATTTCAGAATATTCAAAACCTGCAGTCACTAATCACTAATCTTGGTATTAATTGTTTTAATTTGTGGGTGATAAATAATTGTTGAATATTACTCATAAGTCATTACTCATTACAGGCGATATGCATTATACAATTATAATGGATAATCGCTTACTTGCGCACGAACACAAAATTATTACAATATTATCATTGGCTAAATATACGTATATATATATATATATATTTAATCAATGGTATTATATCATGACATCAGCTGTGGCTGCTTTAAATTTATATTAATATTTAGATAATTTATTTATTCACAATAGTGCACGTCAGTAATTTTCTCTTTGATGTTTTTACTGGTTAGAAATTCAGAAGGCAAATGATTAAGAAGGAGTAGGTACTTCTTAACTATAAATGATAATTAATTGTTTTAGAACAAAAATACTCGTCAAACGTGGAAATTTTAAATTTTGAGGAGACCTAGCCTCTCTCCCGTGATCACCATCTAGGCGACTAAACCTAATCTACCTATACTCAGTACTCGATGAAACAAAGAAAAGACATGACTGGCAACGACGAGTGCCACGCGTATTTATACATATGGTGGGATATTGGAATTTGCATTACTCATCTTTCTAAAATGAGCAAATTATACTGCTATATAACCCGTTTACGTATCAGTAGATACCTACCCGTTACATAACCACAATGAATGACACTAAATAAATTATGTATATTATTATGTCATAAATTCTAAATGCGAAAAATCAATTTTTTTTTCGCATGTTTGAACGATTGCCGTGAACTGTAGTATAGTGCATACCCGCTTAACCAGCATAATATTGTAACATTGTAATTTGATATTTAAATTTTTAATTGCATAATGGACTAATAATATACATATATATATAGTATATACCTTATTATATTCAGATGACGTAGGTACACGATATTGTATAATTGTTAAACTATAAATTAAACGCGGGTGATTAATATAATTGATGCTATTCTTTTGTCACTTACAAGTTCCAAATGCCAATATGTCCATAAAGCATTGATTTATCTTCAACAATAATGTTTTTATAGATAATAGAAATATTTTTAAATATTTAACAGATTTGAACTACACTGCAACTTGCATTTAAAAAATTTAATGTTCTTTTTAACGAAATATTTTTAAGAACCAAATTTATTCATTTAAATTTAAAAATTCTCTATAATACAATTTTTTTTTTGTCCATAAGACTTCGTAGTATGAAAATTTCATCGAATAATAAAAATTGTGTTGGTAATTTTTTAAATGCTAAAAATGATCATATACCTTTTGCAAATATTATAATTATATAGGTATACCAAGAAATTTTGCTTTTATATTTATTATTTAAATTTAATGATAATGAGAGTATTATTAGAGATTAAGTAGGAATATCGGAATTGTAAATATAATTTAATTACTTAAGTGATTCATTGTGATTCATGGACTAAAACGGAGAAACCGTTAACATTGGTACCTAGTTATAATAAAGTAGAATGCAGATTACACCTTAACGGCTATACATTTTAATTTATAATACATTAATACATATTACAATATATTTATATAATAGATATGTATAGTATACTATTACTTCTAAAGTAATACTTATCTGCGTCCCCCCTATTAAGGATTATAACGATGGAATAATTTTTCTGTCTCAATATAATATGATGGTTTATATAAAATAATAATTTAATAATACATCGAAGTAAATGTTACAAAATTAAATCATCTTTATTCGTGAAATCGTAAAATATTTTTTTGTTTTATAGTTAATTGGTGAATTAGATAAACGAGATACCTGTGCAAAATGTATAAAAATATGATAGGTAGGGAATTAATAATTATAATGATTGTTTTAACTTACTGCGATCTGATGGTAACAATTTAAAATTCCAAAGTCGTTTAAAGCAATACAATACACTTAAGTATGTTATATATACGTAAAAAGTTGTTATGGAAAAAAATTTGAAATTTAATATGCAACAAAGTACAATCGTGATCTATCGACTATTGCGAGTTTACGACTGCATTGGACCACATCATAAAATGCGCGATAACAGAATTGCGGACTGCTGAGCATACTGTACGCGATTACATTGTGTAGGTAAACGGTACCTACGTATATTATTAACATAATATTATACCGTAACGTTATGACTTATGAGTATACATAATACCTACACTTGTATCAGTATCACACCCCCTACATAGAAAGAGGAACGAAAGGAATTTCTTTTGCTAATCTTATTTGCATTCGTATGCACAAATTCCATTTCATATAATAGCAGCGTATAATTATAGGTATAAACACCACAATAAAATAAAATAAATAGTGAATACACCTATGTCCTATATATTATACTCTATACTTATATAATCATTATATTAGAGTAGKTATAATAAAATTCCATGTACAGATGGCCAATACGCGTCTGCAAACGTAGTCATGTAATGAATACAAAATCTTACAAACTTACAAAAGAACTATAATAATCCTAATTACGATTTTAGACCCCACATTATTGAGTAATAATTATTGTGTTGTTATTTATTACATATTAATATTATTTTAGAACCTTTTATAGTTTATAAAATACTATAGTAGACAGTTTAGCGCATAAGTATATTTAAAATAATATTTTTATTCTTGTAATCAATCCGTTCTTATTAAAAACAGACATTTCTTCTAATTATTGTAATTATCATTTATCATTAATCGACATACTTATTAATTATATTTAAAAAATATGTACACTTATTGAAAATAGATTTATTACGCCTTAATCTAGTATAATAGATACCTAMATTATAAGGTCAAATTGTATAGGTCAAAAATCATCAACATAAATTACCTATTTTTAAAATCGTCAGAAATGGCACCGTCGCAAAAATATCACGTAATCACCTGTACTGTATGATGAATATAGCCAATTGTAACTATCTTTTAAAACTCTAGGATACTAGTCACTAGAACAACTAAAACTATACATCTTGAATCCTTAAAAAAATTTAGCTGACTTAGAATATTAGTATATACCTACCTATATTATTAATTGTTATTTGTATAGCCCACATAGATGTACTGTCATTTACAAATTGTCTAAGTACCTATACGATTAAAAAAATTAAAATACCTAGAATCTTTATAAGTATCCAAATAATAATAAATTATACTTTAAACTAAACTAATTAAGTAAAAACTAAACGTTAAATATTTTTTWCTAAGTATTTATTAATATATAAATAGGAATGCTGACATGAGATATTATTTAAAAAAAAAAAACTATACTATTGATTTGTCATTCGTATTAATATTGTATCATTGAATATATAAATACTAAATACAGGTATAGCCGTATAGGTACGTAAAAGTGTATGAGGTTTAACTCGATATAGAAGGTAGATACTTCAGTATTTGAGTAGTTAATTCTTAGTCTGTAACTTAAACGTATATGACATAACTATAATATTATGTAGGTACTAGGTATCAAAACCGACAAAACTCTAGAATGATATTAATAATAATATGCTGCTGCTYCATCGAAAGAATAAAATATGTAGGTTAAGTTTTTGTGTAACTCTTTTTGTATAGTATTACTTTATTGTACCTAGCTATTATTATTACTTGTAAATAGTGCAGCTTTATTTTATTTGTTCATCAAACGACAAAACTCATGTAGAACTTGAAAAAATAAATATTTTTGAAGTGCATATTTAAACAAAATTGTATTGTCATTATATTTATGAAGTATGAACGCATTATGTGTTAAAATTTAAAACTATGATAATATATTTTTGTTTTATATAATGGCTTATGAATTATGATTTTATTTACTTTTCATTTTTTGTGTAGACAAACTAGTAGAGTGTAGAATCGACTGAATGCGGGCTTGCCAATTGCCTTGTTGATGTTTGTATCATCTATATATAATTATATCGTCCTATGAAATAATTAATATTATGTCACGCTCTTATGAAAGTTAAATTTAGTATTGTAATTGTAAATTAAATCTTTGTTAATAATTATATAGTGCCTTTATACAATACACATTTATTACATACACATTTTATATACCCCCCCCCACGTGAAAAATCAATCATAAAACCATTAACTGCCAACTGGTATGAAATATACAACAACAAAACACATTTACAATGATCAATGAGATAATGTTGTTTGTTTTATAAACAGCGTTAAAATGCAGTGAAAAAGACGAGTTTCTCCGCCTGCATACAAAAATTAACTATAATAGTGTAATAAATAAAAATATTTTATACACTATTGTATATATAAAAAAAACCTACTGTATATCTTCCAATACTTCCTACAGACGTTTAGCAAATAATAATTTTGCGAATGTTTTTAAATATTACATACCTATACATGAATCTACGACGTTTATTATGAATATTATAATATTATATTATTATGTATATTGTATATAATATTATGTCTTTGTGCAATATAAAGCTGTGCAAACCAAACGTTTTTGACCCCGCAATTTTTTTTC